GGCGCCGGTGGGAAGGTACGTCCCGGCGAGGCCCGCCCCTCGGGCGGCGGAGGTTCCGCCATGAACAGCGTGGGCGAGGCCTGTACGGAGCTGAAGCGCGAGTACGACCAGTGCTTCAACCGCTGGTTCGCTGAGAAGTTCCTCAAGGGCGAGAGCGCGGGGGACCCCTGCGTGCAGCTTTTCAAGCGCTACCAGCTCTGTGTGCAGGTGGGCGCCGCGCCCGCGTGCGAAACCCGCCTCCCGCCCTTCCCCTGTAGGGAAGCCCCGTCGCGCCGCGCGTGGCTGGTGCAGAGGAAGGGGGCCCGGGCCTGTTGCCGGGAGGCGCGCGCCCGGGGAGCCTCAAGGCAGCCGCGAGCCGGGGATGCTTAACCCCTCTTAGCCCGCGCCCGCTGCTGCTGCTGCGCTCGGCGTGCTGGCGGGGAGACGGACCCCGGGGCCCGGGCGCCGCCGGGAGAAGAAATGCCGTGCGAGAGCTGACGGGTCGTTCGTTGACACCGTGGTAACCTCTGCGGTGACAGCACGGGCTCCTCTTGTCTTCTCGAATGTTTCCTCTTCAAAAACATCCCTTGTGTCCGTTTCTCACCTGGCCATAGCCCAGCATCGCTTCTCCTTCGTTACAAACTCTCAAGTGTTTCATTTCCTTGAGACAAAACACCAGATGAGGAGCTGCCCGGCATGGTACAGACCTCAGTAGGATGTTTTTGTTTGCAGCACTACCTCACTGTGAAGCCATGATGACCTGTAGGGCTGTATTATATAATGCCCATAGTGAGCTGATTTGGATTTAGAGTCATATAAGCTTTTAGACAGGCTAAAACTTCACAAAGGAGCAACCTTTCCAAGCTAGTCTAAAGAAGCATTACCACCTCTTACAGAACCTACTCAATATATGTGAGATTACGTTTGCTCATTTTGCAGTATCAGCTCATCAGCAGGACCCACACCCTGTAAGGGGCCAAACACCTGAGCCATCATTCCTTAATGATTTCCAACGCAGGTAGAAGGGGCTGACCGCACAGTTCACTGAGAGAGCCTGTTTACTGAGAGTCTTTGAGTGTCCCTTTGGGGATTTTTAGACATTTAATTTTACAAAACTTATTGTTTCCACTTGTGTGCCGCCTTTTGCTGTTTCCTTGCATTTCATTCTTTCATTCTTCATAATGTGCATTCTCTTTTCCCTTTTGGTTAAGAACCACTTTGTTAATTTCTTTCCTTCAGCAAAAGAGTTCTATTCCTCCAATGGTGCTGTAAATCTAAAATCTAGTCCTCCGCAAATCCTTCATTCACTTCTGTTTTGTTTTTTCTGCTTCCAGCACTGTGACTTCTTCAGAGAGTCCCTCAGCTTGCTTTCTTTCCCTTACCAAGTAGAATTTGCCCTTTTACTGAGATGGTAGTGGGAGGGAGTGTGGATGTGAGATGAGTGAGGGTCTAGGCTGCAGTTCAGTACTGATTTAGCAGGAACGCTCGGAGTTTCTTTGGTCTAGCTTGGAAGCCTTAATACCAACTTGAGCTAGAGCAGAGTGGTCTTAAATCACATCAGGCACCAAGAAAGTCTTCACAGCAAAAGATGTATAAAATATTTGCTTCTTTTTTCCTCCTAGAAAGCTATTAAGGAGAAGGACATCCCCATTGAAGGGCTGGAATTCATGGGCCCCAGCAAAGGAAAAGCTGAAAACTCCTCATGACTTCAGTTGGACCACACAGAACCATTAGCTTGATCTTTGGGCTCAAAAAAATCATCTTACAAAAGACTAGAGGACAGCTGATGGGAAGGTGGCTTTAAATCAGCTGCTGCTTCTGTCTGGTTTTTTAAAAAGCAAGGAGTCTTCTGTGCAGTTTTTTAATGCTGAGCTGTGTAGCAATTACTGTTCCATTTGAAATGAGCATTGAAATGAGCATTACGTTCTGCAGTGTGAAAAACTCTTCATTTAACTTCCTAAACAAATGTACTCTGAACTGAGGAATGCTTGTTAGGATTGGTTTCTGTTTCTTATTTATATATTAGACAATTTCCAGTGTTAAGATGAACATGAAAAGGTGCATGCTGCCAAATTTTAGTGGGCTACATCTTGACTGATCTTTGTTTTACTAAATATTATGGGCTACAGCCTTGCCTCTCATCCGTTTAATTATAGCAGTGTTTTAAATGCTACCACCATTGGGTCTGCAGTGTTTGGATATATGCAATGAAGAATGTAACCTGGTCAGGTCAAGTTATACTTAACTAAAGGATGCAGGGGTGTAGTTAAACCTGACTTTGGCCTTCAAGAAAGGCCGAAGGCAACCTGCCACAGGGGAGAAACACTGACTTGAGGAGTTATGCTCAGTAGCCTCACTCAAAGCACTGATAATATGTTACTGCTGTCTACTAGCAAGTGACTCCAGCTTCGAGAGTAAAGTTGCAGTGCATGCTTAGTCAGTATCCTTTACACCTTTCCATGCTATACCATAAAAGTGCCAGACTGACCCTAGTTACTAGATTTGGCTTCACATAACTATGAATTGGATAAGGGCATCTGTATTGCTTTTCTTTCAGTAGAGACTTCTTGCTACTTTGGAGCCAGAAGAAAAATCTGAAGGAAGAAGAAGAAAAAGCACATCAAGATAGGACTACCTAAGTCATGTCCAGCACCCAAATTTAGTAGTTTAGTCTCTCTCTCTTTTTTTTTTTTTAAGAGTTACTCGACTTAGATTTTGAAATACTTTGGGCAAAGGATTGCTAGAGATGTAAGCTTAATATCTTTTTTTCTGCAAGTACAACACTAATCTTTCGAACTAACCTGTGAATTGTAATATAAGTGGCTAGAGACCTCTCATAAGGAAAGAATTTTTCCCCATCAGGTTTCTGATAGCTATTTCCTTATGCAGACATGAGGAGGTCTATTAGGAGTAAGTTCTACCTTTTTCAACTCACTGAATATCCTACAAGATCCCTTAAGAAAGTGGCTTTTTCTTGCTTTTGTTCAGTCGGAGGAACTGAAAAGGCAAGGGATTTGGGGGTTTGAGGGACCCAAATCGGGGGTCATTCTTTCCCTTCATGTGGACATTGAAGTTTGCAAAAGGGAAAATTCCCAGCCAGTTCAATAAAAGAGCTGAGTCTTTTACCCTCAAGAACACTATGATGAAGATAAGGGGCTGCTGGATTGTGAGGGGAATATGGAGTCAAAGGCTAGAGGGCAAAGCCCAACCTGATAAATCCTTTTTTGTTCTTTCAGAGCTCAAAACAGTGTTGGTTCTTTGGGAATACAGTTAGCAAGAGACCAGCTGTACTCCATTGTGCCTTCCTAGGTTCAAGAGCAGGAGTGCCCTACTCAACTAATGAGACTTGCAGGGATGGAGCTCTGTTATGAGATGCCATAGAAGGCTGTAAGCACAGTATCTCCAGACAATGGTGTTTTACAGGAGACGGTTTCTTAGGGTCTGTAGCTGTAAACTGCTCTAGGATCACAGGAATAAAATTCCCCTCCCCTCCCAGTCTTTTCAATAGCTTTAAAAGTCAGAAAGTCACAGTAGTATCTCTGCAACATGGGGAATAAGTACTCGGTGCCATTAAAAGTACTTGGAACAACACATCTTCCAGAAAGTAGAAGTTAAGGTTGCAGTTGATCTTGTCTTGATTTTTCCTCTGCTGAATAGCAGTGCTCTGCAACTGTTGAACTCTTATTTAAGAGTGTATGTAGCCAGCCATGACCTTTAGAATTGAGATTGGCCTAAAACATTTGTTGCTGTATAACTGCACACAGTATCCAAAAGACTGAACTGCCAACACCACACATGGCATAGCAGGGTTAATCATTCCTAGAATCTTCACCAAGCATTTAGTTCTTTGGGAACCTGACCCTGTAAAATGCCATCTAATAATTGAGTCCCACCCAGAGTGTTATTAGAAGCAGAGCTGGCTTTTTTCCTTATCTAAATCTTTAAATTTAGACTTAAGGCAGCCCTTGGAAAATGGCAGCTTTTAGATTTCACTCATTTTTTGATACAAAAAAATAACAGCAATTCTTTCTGGGCAAGGAACTCAGGAAAACGATGACAGCTTTTGACCGCAGGAAGACCATAAAAGAACATTTTTTACTTTGGATTCTTGTTTCAAATTTCTGGCTTTCTCTGGTGAATAACATGTAGGAGGTGTTTGCACATCTAACAGTGCTAATATTGTGCCAGCACCCTTAGAATGATCTTATGGTACCCCAGGGTGCAACTGCACCCTGGTTAAGCACACAGACTAGATGAATGATTCTCAGAAGAAAAACTGAATGCTGTGTTAAGGTAAAGCTAACCATTACCAGTTTTTCCATACAGCACTTTGATTCTTCCGGCGGAGAAGGGGAAGGATGAAAGTTGACATTGTTGCAGGAACAGAATTAAGGTGGTTTGAGATATGCAACTAACATTCCTTTATTAAGGGTCACCTGTGCTTGCAACTTCACTCCATTTTACTGAAGCTTGTGTAGGAGGAAAACAAGGAATTGTAGTGCCTGAAAACCAGCTTCACCAGACAGCGCCTTAGATGTGCTTTAATGCAGGGGATAGTTTATTTAAGCTGCCTCATGTAATTGGCCAAAATTGCTTTGTTGAGCTGTAATAAAGGGTATGAATTAAATCCTGTAAAGTTGGGATAGGGAAAACCGTATCTTCTTACGTGGACTTTTTAGAATTCCCCATTTCTTCTGATTCTAGCAACAGCATGAAGGAAAAATGCAAGAGGGTATTTGGAGACAAAATAAGCATTGATACATGAACATAAAAAAGTGTTTTCCTTATAACAAAACATACTTTTCATACATGGGAGGGGAACAGAGCCCAGGGCAGATGATAGCTCAGCCTACCCCAGATTTGAATGGTTCATTTAATGGTGTGAGTACAGGGGAAACTAGGGATGGATAGGGGACCGCTTCTTTACCTCCCCACCTTTACCTGCCCTCACCCCTCTACCTTTTGCTCCAGCTCCCCAACCTAGCTGCCTGGAACTGCCACTGTTCCCTGACCAGGCTGGCTGCTGATGCTACTCCTGTTGCCAGCTTCCCTGAAGGATCAGAACTGTAGCAAAAAGTAGGGAAGGGGGTAGGCATCTTGTCCCTCACCCCACTACCACAGCAGTGCAGAGGATGCATTTAAGATGATCTTTCACTAATTAAGTTCTATATGTGGAAAAATACTAATAGATTTACAATTTTCTAGCCATATAATTAATTGGGGTAGGGGGGAGAGGAACAAGAGCAGGTCATCTTGGATCTGGGCAAACATGGTATTAAGTTCATAAAAGGCCTCCAGTCCATCAAGTTTCTATAAAGAGATTGTGTTACTGGAAATCTAAAGGAAGAAACAAATAAACACCTTTGCTTCACTTTTACAGAAGAATGCCATATGGAGCCCTACAGTATGTGATTTTGTATCTTAGGCTCCAACTGGACAGCTATATTCCACATGCTCCCTTCTCAACAATTTTTCTCCCTGCTACTAACTACAGGTCTTATTTCCCGTTCAGCCCACCCCCACCCCTCCCTCCTCTTAATAGAGAACCAGAGGGAGATACATCTTTTGACAGGTTTAACATCTCAGGTCATTGGAGATGCTGCACAGGATTTCTAAAGTAAAACACCATTAATTAATGGGAGTAAGTCTTGTTGATAGATCTGTTATTCCCTACATGTCTGGTATACAATTTGGAGCATCAGGAACACTGGAATAGATGGATCAGTGCAAGCTTCTTTGCTAGAATAGATTTCATGTTTTTATTTTAGTAATATTCCTGCCCTTTGGTGGTCTCAAGAAATCTTTCCATACCAACCAAATCAGTAAAGCATACATTATGGCTTTGGGAACAAGGTCAATTAGACAGACGTCAAATTTAATTCATTTAATCTGAAACTTAACCATGCTAAAGATCTTGATGCTTGCATGCATCTTCCACTCATCTGTTAGAGGCAATAATGATAAAGCAGAAGCCTGCAGTAAGGGTCTGCTTAAAAAACAAAGCAGCAGCATTTAAGCCCATTATGCTCTTGCTTAAAAGTTGAAAACCTTTTACCTGAAAGACATATTAACAATAAGACTGTCTAGATGGGTAGAAACTAGAGCAAGACTTTTCACAAGATTCACACAGAAATCCAAGTGGAATTATTTATTTAAGGTGACCTCTTCTACAGGTACAGTACAAGGGGTCAGAATGTCATTTATAACCTTACAGTACAGGAATGCAGAATAATTGTTTAGATGAAAGGTCCCATACAAATGTTCTGGTCAGAATATATCAGTAGCTCAAGTTGCTGTGGTCCACATCTTTAGTGATCATCTTCATAGCCAGTTGGGAGAGGATTGACATGGGGGTTGTGGAATAGACTTTTGTTCCCATCTCCCCAAGGGAAGGGCTGTTAAAAGAAGAAATGTATTAAAAATTGCTTGGTAATCGCTTGACAGAAATGCTAAGGTACAAGGAAATAACACCTGTAAAAGGTAGTAAAGCCAGGCTCAAGAACATTATGCAACTGAAAGGGTAGTGTATGAGCCAACTGATGCAGACCTCACACCTGTCATTTATGCTAGAACAGAAAGGATAAAAGCACAAAATGGAGCTTCACTTTAAGTGTGGGGTGCTTGGATAAGTCACCATCTAAAAGGTAAAAAAGACAAACTTGCAATGCAGAGATGTGCAAAGAGCAGTCACAAGCATGTATTTGTAGGAATGAGTTTGAGTCAGTATATCAAAGACAACTATGGATTAGAGGCAGCTTAGTATGAATCCATTCTGCATAGAAGTGTAACAGTAGAATGAGAATTAGAACCTGCTAGTATTTTTACCCTTTCTTTCAACAAGTTTCCTATGGATGGACAGATGCTAACCACTATTTCAGGGATTCTCTCGCTCACAAGGCACCCCTCTTACTTCAACATAGTTGCAACTCCTATGCCTGTATAACCCCCACATTGATAACTCTGGTCCAGTCTTTTTCCTTATTCATTAATTTAAGTCTAGCTTAAGATCAGAGAGATGTGCTATTTAAGAGCAAAATTGTTTTGATGATGCATCAAATTCACTCCCAAGAAAATGAAAATTAGATATGTCCATTTACAAAAATGTCTTGGATGAGATCCTAAAAGCTCACAACCCACCTCACAGGAAGTGAACACTTGAAACCTTACAAATGCAAAGATGGTTCCTTGTCTTTCAGCAGCAGACAAAAGGCAGGGTGGCTGACAATAGAACCATACTAAGTGATTTGAGAAAGTAATTGTCTGGGCCATACTGCTGCACATACCTTGGTCCTGATACGGAGGTGAGGATAAGAAATGAACTCTGGTCTCTCATGCTTGTGCTGCGCCTTTAAGTAGCAGTTCAACATGCAGACTGCCACACCAGGCAAAGCAACAAAAAAGGTCAGGAGCTTCCATGTTCGAGCTAGCAAGGAGAGAAACAGGATACTGAGGATGGGCAACATTAGAGATAGTTTCAAAATCACACTTGTTAGAACAACGTTTCAGGAAGTGTTAGTAATTAATCTTGTTACAAAATGGGAAGTTCTGCATAACAACCTATCATTTTTAAAAACTTTGGAAGCAGTCTCAAAATGAAGTTTCACGGTTTACACACACAAAAAAACCTGTTGTTTCAAAAGCAACTTCTACAAAGCTTTGCTTATCTATGCTCAAGAATTAGATTTATTTTAAGTGGCATGTTCTGACAGAACCGCTTAGACAATTTTTCTGGTCAATGCTAGTCTGTTACTTTTAAAACAGTGAAAGCCTTCTTTCTATTTTATAATTCCCTATATAACCACCCACTTTTTGCTGACAAGTACCCTGTAGACTTAACAGTGGATTTCAAACTGAACAATATTACGGTTGGCAAAATGATTCATTAGCCACAGTCTGCTTAGGGTTTCCTTTTCTTCTTTTTTTTTTTTTGAAAGAGATTTGGTTATATGGGGCTAAGCACACAAAGCAAGCTTAAGCATTGTAGTGATCAGTGCTCAACTTCAGAGCTTAGCCACCTAGTGGAGTTCCCACCTTGGCTTCATATACAAGGCATCAAGAATTAAAAACTCAATAATAGCAACCACAAAAGCCAACATGCTTTAGACAGGGATCTTCTGACACTGACAGTTAAAGATACCAAAGACAGGGAAAAGTCTCAAGCCCCGACTCTTCAGGGCTTAGGCAGGGCCGTCAGAGGGGGAGGGGGCAAATTGGGGCAACTGCCCCAGGCCCCATGGAGCTGGGTGGGAGGCAAAGCAGCAGCAGCAGCAGCAGAGCAGCAGCTCCGCATCCAGCCACTCTCTACCCCACCCCCACAGCAGTTTCTCTGGGTCCAAGCCTGGATCGGAGCAGGGGTGGGGCCCCACAACCTGGTTGTGTCAGCTCTGGGCTTAGGCACCACTCACTGGATTGCCAGAAACCACACCTCCCCTATTAGGGATTTGCTCTGCACTCTCCTCCAGTAAGCACCCATGTGCTTTCCAAGGGAGGAGATGGTGACACTTCTTTATCCAACACTTCCATTGGAAAAGCCCTCAGCTGGAAGGAGGAAGAACTAAGTTGAAATCCCTCCCCTGGAGGGATCCTTCTCATGGCCAGTAAGCAGACAGAGAGGCAAAAGATTTAACCCATCTGTCTCCTGGGGGGGCTTTCTAAGCAAGCCACGTGCTGCCCCTCAACGGACAAAGCATTCAACTAGGAATCAGTAAGAATGGATTGAGGAAGAGGACTCGAGCCCAAGTCTTTGACAGACTGAACAAGAACTTTAACCATACACACATCAGATGAGGGGGCAGCATGTCTTAGTCGTGAAGTCCACCAGGAGAGGGCCTGGTTGATCCAGCCTGCAATTATGGCAGGGGAGGAATACTTAAGGGGAGAATCTGGCTGGGGGCAGAGCCGGAGCAGCCTGTTGACAGGCTGTTTCCAGGCTGACCCACGAGCCCTACAGGCATCTAGGAAGCTTTTATGCTAGAGGTTCGGGCACCCCCTGACTTGAGTCGCCCTCAGGATGCGGCAGCCGCTGAGCGGGGCTGTCCCAAGGTCTCAGTGCTGGAGGCCCCAAGCGCCCTTGGGCGGCGCACCCGAGCGCAGACGCAGGCACCCCCGGGGACCGCCCCATCCCGAGCGGCCTGGCGGAGCGCCCTGGCTCCCGCTGCGCCACTGTAGGACGGCGCCAGCCCGGCCGCACCGCAGGGCCCC